CCGACATAGTGTCTCCATGAGGCAGAGACTCTGAAATAATCCTCCATTTGCAGGTTCACCCAGATGTTCCCATTATCCTGGAAAATCTCCACGGCAGGCAGAGAGGGGGTGGTTGGGAGGCCATATCCCCCTCAAGGAGTGAATCCCAAGGCAGACAATGTCAGTGTCATTCTCCAACCTCTAGGGGGAGATAGAGGGTCCACCCCTCTACTACTCTAGGAAGAGAAATGGTGACATGCATTTAACTGATGGGTTAGGGTAGGTAGCCAGGATCTAAGGGGTGTGCTTTCAGTGAGAGAAGCAAAAAGGAAAGACTCTTGCTGATGCATATAGTGGCTTAGTGTTAGAAGTGTTTCTCTTGTAATTCTAAGAGGCTGGTGCAGAAAGCAAGTAGACAGTAGAAGTAGAGGCAGCATCTAACAATACTGATGCTAAAACAATGGGTCCGGCACTGTGACAAATGCTTTCCATGAATTAAGAGGTTGAGCCCTAGACTCAGGTAGCCCTGAGGTCCAATCTTGACTCTACCTATCTGCTCTATAACCTTAGCCAAATTGCTTAATTTCTAAGCCTCAATCTTTTCCAATATATTATAGTGGCTGGGTTGTTGTACAAATTGAATAGTAGTGTCTATAAAGCATTATTGGTAGTATGCAGAAGGGCCTGGACCACCTCCCACTTGGGGATGTCCCTTTACCTCTTCCCACTCCTCCAAACCCCTTGTCTGGAGAATATCCAACAGTGCAGTTGAAGGAAAGAGAGTCTTGGGTTCCAGGAAACTTGCCTCTGATCCTGTCAACAGGTGTTTATTGAGTGTCTATGTGCTGTAATCTGGGCTACACTACTCTGCCTCAGTCAACAGAACTTTAGGGAATAAAGATGGACATCCCCTCATTAAACAAGACATTCCAATACATCTTGATGATTTTAGAACAGGGGGAACTTGAAGAGTTGTGAGAGCTCACAGCAGAGTTCAGTTTAGATGGGTATTTGGGACTAAAAGCAAACCAAGGATGACTTTGCAGTCACACCCCCAGGAGCTGTGGTAAGATGGATAGACCATGGCTGCTCGAGATGTTGGAAGACTGGGATCCAGGTATCAAGGGCCAAAAGCAAAACAGCAGAACTGATGCGGGTGGCCCAGCGGGTAGAGCAGGGCAGTGGTTAACAGCCCGGGCAGAAGAATCGCAGGCGTATCATGCCAGCTGGGTCTCCTTAGAAGTCGGAGAGCACTGTGGTTATGAGTAAGGGATTTGGAGTCAGGTAGACTGGGTTCAAACTCTGGCTTGGTCATTGACTTCTTGTGTGGATAAGTTCTGTGTCCCCTTTGAACCTATTCTTCATGAATAAAATAGGGATAATAAAATTGCTGGCCTCATGGGGTTGCTGTGAGGTTTGAATTAATACATGCAAGTGCTTGAGATGATGCCAGCACATGGTGAGGACTCAGTGAACATCAGCTATTAGTGTTACTCCCCCAGGCACCCAGACAGCTTTCTGAGCACCATGGGTGGGAGAGGACATGGTGAGGGCATGGAGACTTCCTCGCTGAGTCCTTTGTCCTCGATGTTCCTGTTTCAGCCCCAGCTTCCACTTAATAAGCATCTTCTATGAGGAAGGTATGTGCTGGGACTGCTACATCTCTGATGTCTAATCCTTCCCACAATATAGCAGTGACTTGTCCTTTTTGTAGGTGGGCACCTGAACCTTGGAGAGGTCTGAATACAGATAGTTCTCCAAGGAACATTGGGCTCTGCCGAGCAATCAGATTCCCTTAACCTGCTGGCATGACAATGATGATGAAACAGAGGCAGGTCAGGCACATGAGTCAAAGTGGTGCTACTGAAGCCACCTACTGGACTCTTCTTTAGTATGCTAAGGGCTTGTTGTTACATTTGGTTCTAGAATATAAGGAGCTACCTTAACAATCAGTGACACTTAGTTCTGGGTGAAAGCAACTGGTGACCAGATGTCTTTGTTATCTCTGGCTTCCTTACTCCTTAAGACTCTTGATTTAGCCTTATCAGTCTCTAGAAAACTGTCCAAGAGAAAAAAATGTTTTAAAATCATCCACTAATTTAACAACCACCTATCAGACACCAATTCTATGCCAGGTTCTGAGCTGGGTGCTGGGGATATAAGAGAAATAAAGCACTGTCCCTGCCTTCAGCAAGCTCACAGTTCAAAACATGAGGCAGATAAACAAACACTCTGAATACAATTTGATTAGTCCTGTAATCAAACACTGGGTATGGTCAGTGCTCCAGTCCGCAAGAGGCCTCTGAAAACAAGCACTTAGGCAAAATATGAAGCAGGAAGGATTTTTTTAAATAATTTGGTATTTGACTTTTTTTAAAAAGCAGCAAATTGGTTAGTGTGGGAAAAATCAGAACTTGGTCAGAATTTCTTAAACTTATAGTTCAATATTGCTTTCATTTTGAATCACTTATCAAGAGGATGGGAGGCATTTCAACCTTTTCAATGCTCAGAGCCTCTAAATCCAGAAAAAATAGCTATGTTTGAGAAAAATCAAGGGTATGAAACTGACAGAACTTGATAAGAAAGGAGTCGAGGATGATATTAAGGTTTCTGGGCTGTGTAACTAGGAGGCTGCAGGTACCACCAGCCTCCATATGGAATACTGGAGGCTCAAGAGAGAAACTAATGAGTTCGCTTTGGAAAGGAAACATCTAGGTGAAGCTGTCCAAGAGTCAGCCAGATATATGGGCTGTCTAGACCCAGAGTTTTGTAGGTAATGAAGCCAACAGACATAATATCAGGAGAAGCATCTTGGCAGGAGATCTGTCTAGAAGCTTCAGAGTGTGATCATGGAAGGGATGGACCTGGATGAGCTCACCCAGGGAGTGGTGAAAGGAAATGAAGAAAAGCACAAGAATCGAACAGTGCAGGAAACCGTACTTACAGGAGGGGAATAAGAGCTACTGTAGAGACTGGGAAAGGATGGCCAGGAGGTCGCAGAAAAATCAGCAAAGTGGTGCCCCTGAAGCTCAAGGAAGAGAAATTTTAAAAGGGGTAATCCAAAGCATTTAAAGTTACAGGGAGATAAAGGAAGATAAAGACAGAGGAAAAAAGGAAGGGAGAGGAGGAGGGAGGGAGCACCCTCATTTTCTTCTACTCACTAATATTTTATTCCCAGACAGAGAGGGAGGGAGGGAGGGAGACGGAAGGCAGGCAGGCAGGCAGGCAGGCAAGAAGGAAGGAAGGCAGGCAGGCAGGCACAGAAAGAAAGATTTGGCAGTTAGGGTGGTCATCAGTGATCTTTCCTAAAGAGTTCCAGTTCTGGAAACAGAAGACAGACTGCAGGGAGCGAATGGTAGCAGAGAAAGTGAGTTGAAGACCCCTTTGAAGAGAGCTGACTTGTAAAAGAGAAAGAGAGATGGGATGGTCACTAAAAGGTCAATAGGGCCAAGAAGTTTGGTTAGGTTGTTTCGTGTTATATATTAAAGCTGTTTATAAGCCAAGAGGAAACTTAAGGAGAAAGTGATTGATTGATAGTAGGGAGAGGAGATTGCTGATGGGAAGTCTCCAAGGAGGCTGGGGACAGGGGGAGTGTGAGGCAGGGCACAGATGGAAGGGGTTGAGTGAGGATCGAAGGTAGACGTGGGTGGGGAGGCTACTCTTTTCAAATCCTTATAATCATTGTATCCAGTCGTCACTGGGCCAAGGAAGGGAAATGGTTCAGTCCTGAGCATCTTTTAAAGTCTACAGTGTGAAGAGAACACAAAATGAATGCCAAATCTTGCAATCATCTGTCACCGAGTCCATTTCCAAACGTTTGTTGCTTGCAAGGCCAAACAGCACATCTAAATGCAGGAAAAGTTTAAAAGAAATCCATTGGAAGCACTAGAAGCCAGAAAGGGCCTGCCAGAGAGCAAGCACTCTTCCCCAAAATCATTAGCCAACACCACCCCAACTTCTCTGCTGACCAAAGAGCTGCTGGCAGATAGATCTCTACAAGGCAGGATTCCAGCAGCGCCTAGCACTGTGCAAACTCCGGTGAGTCGGCCTTTTTCTTTCCCAAGGGGCATGACATGCCCTGGGAGGCCTGAGACAAATCTACCCAGAAAAATAGTTCGATCTCATTAGGGGCAATCTCAGGCCTGCTAGGCCAGAGCAGGGGCCACACCTGGACTAAAGGCCAAGAGACCTGATAGTCAGTAGCAGCGGTCTCCCCACCAAGCGTGAAGCAAGTCTGTATGACCAGCGGCGTCGTTGTGAACAGCACAGCCATCCAGCCATCCAGTGGGTGTGGGTGTACGCGAGGCCAGAGCTCCTAGGCGCGCGCACCGCGGGCGCCCCTCTCTGGGTGTCGGCAGCTATGACTCCTGGAGAACCCGAGAAAGTCCGGTCAAGTATGGATGGGAGTGCTGGGCGGCTGAGGCGCCCTCTCAGCCCAGCAACCCTAGCATTCCCGGGTAAGGAGCTGGCGACACGGTCTGCGGAGACCCGCTCGCAAGATCTGAGGCCCAGAGTGGGCCGGAGAGCTCTCCAGGGAAGGGGCGCACTTTCCAAGAAGGGAGCACTGGGATTCTGGGATGGCCAAGGCGAAGCCTTCAGAGGTTCAATCGCTGGTTTAAAAACAAAACAATACAAAACAAAACAAAAAAATCCAACAGGCTCCAGGCGGGAAGTGCCCTGAGTCCAGGCCTGGGCAGCAGGTGTTACGGGTTGTCAGCCTTCCGGCTAAAGGAAAATTCGGTCCCAGACATGGCCGATTGGACCCGTCCCCACCTGGACACACGGAACTTTCTAGGCTGTGGCTACAGCTGAGCCTCAGAGGGTGCAAGTGATAAAACGGGAAGGCACCAGTCGTAGCCAGCTGTCCCCACTGGGGACTGGGTTCCCTCGAAGGGCCGCACGCCTTCCACGGTCCACAAGCCGCAGCCAGACAACCCGCGAAGTTCCGGAACTCGCTGCACGCGCCAGGTCTGCCCCCCCTCTTGGACTCGATCGCCGGGAGCAGGTCCCGCCGCCCGCGCCACCGCTGCCGCAGCCCCGGCACTCGGCTGCAGCAGGGCGCGGGAAAGGGCACTTTGGCGCGGAGTGGGAACCAAGAGGAATGTGGCGGCGCGGAGCCTGGCGGCGACACTCCCTCTCTAGCCACAGGGCACAACCCCCGCCCCCGCCTCCCCGTCGCTCAGCACCCCGCTCCTGCAAAGCGTGCTTGGGACCCCAGCCCAGGACCCGCGCCCACCGGACCCCCTCTCCAAGCCCAGAGGGCTGAGGGAGGGACTCCTGGGGAAGGGGATGGCGGCCGCAGTCTCCCGGCGGCTCCGGCGGAGGCGCGGGCTCCGTTCGCCAGAAAATGGGCGGGGGCAGGGCAGGGCAGACCCCGCAGACGCGGAAATGGGGAGGGGGCGCCCTTCCTCTCCAGGCCCCAGGACGGGCGTGCCTACCAGAATGGGGAAGAAGGGGGAGGGCTCCAGGAAAGTTTATCGGGGAAAAGCCTGGCACCTTGGGGGCTGGGAGGCTGGAGAAACTGAAGCCACCGTCCGGGTACCCTGCAACCACGGGCGGGGATGTCTGTCGCCCAGGCCCGCACACCGGCCGGATCCGGCCAAGTTGCGGCTGGGGTTGGGGGG